ATCTCTTGGCCAGGGGATGCGCTGGAGAACCTGGCTGCTCTGTGCAAAGAATCTGGAGACGTGGCCCCTGGCACGATCCCCCGGTGCCGGGACGATGATAATTTCGGGTGTCAAACTTACATCACCTTGATCAGGGAGAGAGTGAATGGCACTCAAGGAGCAGAGACAGTTTTTCTGCAGCTAAAAAGGATTTTAGGGATCCTGGAGATACTTCAGAAGCTTGAGAAGGGAGACCACCAGAAGATGAGGTCCATCCCAGACTGGTGGGATGTGGCCTTTCTCAGACTCGTCCTGCGAATCAAAGGGGCCATGCTACGGGCTCAAGAAATGTCCCTCTACCCTGAAGATGCCCAAGCTTTGTGGCATCAGCTGTCTGTTGTTCTTACTTCCTCTGTTTTTATCTCAGAAAGCACGCAAGAATGTTGGGCCGAGCATCCCAACTTCTCCACCTTGGCCACCCATCACAAAGGACTCCACATGTTTGCTCCCTCTTTGGGCTTTTTGTCACTGCCCCCTCCTTTGATGGATGAACTTGATATCCTCCAGAGATGTTTGCTTCAGAAAAGCCAGGAGAAACTTCAGAAAAAATCTAAGGATATAATCTCCTTGGTGAGCCTCAAAATCAGCCTCTTGGTGGTCACCGGCCTTATCTACCCAGCGGTCCTGGTTTCCTTCAAAGAGATGGCAGAATGGATCCAGAATTATGCCAGGAACCTCAAGGAACGAACAGAGGATTTGAAACGGGAAAGGCAGGTAGCTGAAGACCTTCTTCACCAGATGTTGCCCAAATCCGTGGCCAAGCAGCTACGGAAACACAAGCACGTAGAGGCAGAAAATTATGACCAGGTAAGACACCAGAGACAATAAGACAATGTCTGAAGGAATCAGACAACTTTCAGGTTCACGACTGATCGTGGGTCGTATAATTCTCCCCATAAAAGCGTTCTTCAGATGAAACGCCTTCTCTTCAAAACTTCCAAGGGGTAAAGGAGGATCAACAGAGAAGTGAGTCCCAAACGAAAACCATAAATCTAGCTTCTGGTGTGGGTCTGGGGGCTACCAAGAGCTTTAAACCCCCTTGTCCCCTCAACACCCAATTCTGCCTAGCGAAGTATACAAAATAATGACTCTCTTTATATCCGACTGGCCCATAATCAAAGAACCTTCAAATCCTGACATAATGATTGACTCTTTGTTTCTCACCTTTTTCTCCTTCTTGCTCCTCAGCTGTTTCCATCTCACATGGGGAGGGGCCCCCTTCATTAATCCCCCCCCCAATTAGTGTGCGTTTCGTTGAGTGCTCCCATCATTACTTTAATTGGTCAATTACGGTACGCGCAGCCAGAGGAGGTGTATCAGAAACCATCTGGAAATAAGGGGGGAAATTAAAGCATAAAGCTATGGAGGAAATCAGGCTAGGACTTCAGACAGAATGCAGCTGCTCCCGTTTGGAGGGGCTAAACGTCACCCCTTCTGCCTCCCCCTCCCAGGTGACCATCTTCTTTTCGGACATCGTGGGTTTCACCGCCATTGCGGCTTCGTGCGCCCCGCTGCAGGTGGTCGAGATGCTCAACAACCTCTACGTCTGCTTTGACACCAGGATCGAATCCTACGACGTCTACAAGGTCAGCCCACGTCCCTCTGCAGCGGAAGGGTGAGAAAGCCGGGACAGGTTTGCTCCCTGTTGGCAGAGCAGGTCAACCTGGTCCCAGAATGGCTGCCCCGTTCCCCGACGGTAAAAAAAAATCAACCACCTATAATTAAACCCCTTAAAAAAAATAAAATCTGCTCCTTACGTTCTTAGTGGCTTCGCTTACGAAGCTCTCCCAGGGCACTTCCATCTTCCCTAAGAGCGAACAAATTACTCCTCCCCAAAAGAAATTTAGCAACCCACCGCTAAAGGCGATAACTATAAAGAACATTTAAATCTGGAAGGTCCAAGGTTGTCAGCACCTGTCCCGTTTCTCTCGGGTCTCGTGGCACTCGCTCTCCTTGGGCCCACCAGGTGGAAACCATCGGCGATGCCTACATGGTTGTGAGCGGCCTGCCCGAGCGGAACGGCACCAGGCACGCGGACGAGATCGCCAAGATGGCCCTGGACCTGGTGGCCGCGGTGCGGCAGGTGGCGATCCCCCACCTGCCTGCCAGCAAGCTGCAGCTGCGGGCTGGGATCCACACAGGTGAGCCAACACAGCAGCAACCCGGCTTTACACCTGGGGTGGACCCCACCTGCCACCCCCGTCTTGATGTCTCTTTTCCACACTTCCCGCAGGGCCCTGCGTGGCCGGCGTTGTGGGGCATAAAATGCCCCGGTACTGCCTCTTCGGCGACACGGTGAACACAGCCTCCCGCATGGAGTCGACCAGTCTGCGTGAGTAGCCGCTCGAGGGCCGCTTCCGTTCGACCCAAAGCCCCGCAGGGTTGGTGTAAACAGGGCTACCTGAGCTAGACCAGAGAGCTAACTCAGCAAGTTGCCCCTGCTCCTCTTTGTTCAGCGTCATGAGGACTAGAAGCTTAGTTTACTTTTAGGGGAGGGACAACCCCTCGGTGAGGAAATTCCCGTTTTTCATGCAAGCCTCAGGCTCGGTCTCCAGCTTCCCCGAGGAGGGGTGCTAAAACGCCTCTCTAAACCGCTAGCGAGGTTGGGTGAGAAAGACCAAGGTTTGCCTTGGCAAGTCAAATCCTCCCTTAGCTGACGGTCGCTTGGACCGAAGGGAAAAGGGAGACCGAGCATCGCCCCAAAGCCCCAGACTGAACCTGTCGGGTCACCTGCCGTCCTGGGCTAGGCGGGCGATGGGCGATTGCTCGTACCTCTTTGGGCGTGAAGCTCGAAGACCGCCCCGCATTAAAAGCGCATTTGGGGGCGATCCTTTTCCAGCCCAGAAAATCCACATCAGCTCCGCCACCTACCACGTGCTGCTGCAGGACGGTGCCTATGACATTGAGCCGAGAGGAGACATTGAGGTGAAGGTGCGTCTTGCCGTTAGGACGACGACGTCCGTTCTGCCAAAGCCACAGCTTCAGGGCACTCTGCGGAAGGAAGCAAGCCGCCTGGGTTCCTCTTGATTCAGAATCACGAGGACTAGAAGCTTAGCTTACTTTTAGGGAAGGGACAACCCCTCGCTTTGCCGTTTTTAGCCGCTCACAGGAAGAAGCAAGCCAAAGGGAAGCCCCCCTGCCCCAAACAGCTTACTTCTTCTTTTTTTAAAGTCTCAGGTTGCTTGGAGTTAAAAACAGAAAAATAAAACTCTGCGCGCTGTGCTTATAATGCACAAGACATCTCTATATATTTTATATATATATATATATATATATATA